CTGACTCACGCTAGCCTAGGTGCACGCAACATGTGTGTGCTGATGCTGAACTACCTTTAAAGTATTGTGTGTGGCTTTTATGTCCCTCTTTAAACCTGATGAGTTAATATTTAGGAATAAAGGTACATCGGGGTTGCAGCAAGAGGTGGTGTGAGATCGTCCAGCACGTTTTTGGGCAGGGAGATGGAGAGGACCAGGCAGAAGCAGCCTCCAGTAACAGGGGTGAGTGTCTATTGCTACCAGCAAGGGAAGTTACTTTCTGGGAAAGCAGAGCTTATCTTGATGACCCAGGATACATACACCAAATGCCAATAGAGCTAGGTCAGCAATTATGTAGGAGTTTTTTGCTAGGATTAGGTGTGGGAGGATGATCACCTCCTCTCCCACAGTTGGTTGACATAACTCTCTGTACCAGCTCTTGCAGTCCTGGCTCAGCCTCTAACCGCTGGCTTGAAATTCAGCCCCTTGACCTGTACACCTTGGTGCCAGAAATGCACTTCATTGCCCTTTGCCTGTGCAACTTCCCCCATCCCCTTCTCCCAGTACAACACTGGTTACATTGGGATGCCCCCCCACTGCCAGGGCTGGGCTGTGTGGACTGTGGGCAGCCAGGACCAAGCAGGGGAAAGCACACGCCCTGATATTTTTTTGAAGGACAGGGAAATAACTGGGGAGTGTGTCTGTGCTCTCTCAGTGATGCCCATTCCCCCATGCCACTTGCAAGCTGCATTTCACTAATTTCTTAGCTGACTTTCCATCTGTGCTGCATTCCCACAGGGTCTCATCCCAGGAAGCCCCAAGCACCTCGCTGGTTCTAGGAGCCCTCCCCCATATGATGAAACCCGCTGGCCTCAGGGGAACTGGGTTTGCTGGAGACAGGAAGGACCTGGGTGCCCAATTAACCGTCTCTGGCAGCTTGCAGTGTGGGCAGCATTGGTGCACATCCGGGGCTCCCTTGAGGCCCTGACCCACAGCAGGTCTGCCCCAAAATCTGCTCAAATCCTGGCATCTCCTAGCAAGGCCTTCCCAAGCCAGCCCCAGTTGCGGGGAAAAGGCTACAGGGATGTTAGTGGAGAGGAGACAAAGGTACCTTAGGGTCTCTTTTACATGCACTGTGTTTTAAGTCACTCCTGTGCTTTGTTTCATCTGCTGCCCTATCAAATCCAGTTTTACCCTCTTCCTCTGTGGAGTGGAGGGGAACAGGGGTGGAAATTTGGCCTTGGTTCTCTGCTCTGTCTCACCCATGGCAATCCCTTTAAAGTCAGGCTGTGATATTGCTGAGTTCAAACGCAAACAGGCCTTATGCCTTCCTGCATCTTCCCAGTTTTCCATATGCAAAACTCCCTTGGGAAAGGAGACAGACTAGCCAAAAACTGCAGCCATGTGATGGAGAGCCAGGCCCCCAGCTCTGGCTGCTGCGCTTTGTGGTACACTATGGTTGCAGCCAGATGCCAAACCTGCAAGCTTGTTCTAGTGCATGGAGTTCAAAACTGTTATTAGAGCTACCAGCCCTGATAAACATGGCCCTGCCACCTTCCAGACAGTGCCTGGCAACCAGCAAAGCAAAACTGAAAATGGAGAGTGTGCCATTTTGGGGGTGGTACCCTTCTTCCTGGTGTTTATGGGGCCTGTCTGGGAGAGAGTGGGGTGGGTAGGTAAGAAGGGAAAAAGTTGTTTGCAGGAGATCATTTTTTAGCTTTTTCTTTCCCTAACGCATGCACGAAAGCAAGAAAAATGAAGTCACTTACTTGAGAAGTTGTTGAAACTAGTTCTGGGACCTCCTCAGCTCCTGGTGTAGTTTTTGCTTGGACTCTGGGTGCGAGGGGTTCCCGGCAGCACACGGGGCTGTGCAGAAGAGGGGATGTGGCTGAGGCTGGCCTGGTGAGCGAAGCAAAAGCTGATGAAAACAGCGTTAAGAGTTTGGCAGCTTCCTTTTTCAGTCTGCAACATGCCCTCAGCTGTTGGCTTTTAGAAGGAGGGAGGAGGGTGTTCTCGCGCCCTGTGCTTGGGTGGGGCAGGGAGCAGGCGCTTGGCTTCTGCTGGGTGCAAGGCTGAGGCTGTGCCTTTAAAAAAAAAAAGGGAAATGCTGAGAATGAGTCACTGGAAAAAGCGCATCGTCCTTTTTCAGACGCAGATGCAGCTGTGCAAAGGCTGGCTGGGATGTCCCAGGGTTTGCCTGGAGGATGGGAGCGATGGGGCACCTTGCTGGGGCCTTGCTGGGATGCACAGGGGAAATGCTGGAGCCCCCCAGCCTGGGAGGTGGATGCAGCCCCCGTGGTCCCCAGTTGATGCAGTTGTGCATGGGAGAAGCCCTCGGTCCCATGTAAAGGGGCAGGGACTGCTGCTTTTGTGCATGGGAACCGGCTGAGCCAGCGGGAAAGACGCCAGCCTGGCTGGGTTTTTGGGAGAAGCAGGAATCCACCATCACGAGCTCTGCGGGGTGGCCAGGTTTTGCTTCTTGCCGCCCAGGATCGAGCAGCGAGGCTGCTGCAAGGGGTGGTGGGGACTGAGCGGGAAGATTTG